GGGACCTTCAGCTCTGGAAGTTAGTGCTCACCCATGGGCTACCCCGCTCCCGCGATGAGCGTTATGAGTGATTTAATCATAATCATTAATCATGATCATTGAATTAATTTAATTATTCATTAATTGTTACTCAGTTAATCGAGTTTGGGCAATGACCAACACAGCCTTCAACGATTCTTTTCGTTGACCGATGAGCAAGGTTTGTGACAATTTCCATCCGATATCGCATTTAAATCGAGATAGTTTGCTTCCAATAAATTTATTCTGTGTTAGCAATAGTCCGGGGTATGTCTATAATGTTCTGCAGCTTAGATAACCACTAACTACTAGTTATACTCATAGTTACCGTCATATTCCTCTTAAGGGAGCGTGTATAACATTAATTAGTTCTTCCGGAATATATGTCGTGCTGCGATGAAGCAGAACTTGCACAGGCAAACTTTACCAAGTCCTATTCAGAGAGAAATACTCATTCAGATGTAATTATCTTGGCTGTAGCGAAGCCTCAAAATAAATAGTCTAACAGAAATATTTTGCACAAATAATAATAACATTCCAAAAATATACTGTAAGCAATTAAATTATGCTAGTGTTCGTCCAGTGGTCGAAATTCGACGACAATCATTATTGAACATTTGAGAAAATATAAATGAATTTGCTTCTTTGCAACATCTTTTTTTCTAATCTTACATATTCGTACATGTACTTTTATTTGTACTTATAATACAAAACAGTGCAGTATCATTTGTGTAATTTTTGAGTTATTGGCAAATAAGTCTGAATCCATCGTCACTTTATTCAAAAAAATGTTTGAAGCCACTCTTTCGGTTGGTACAAAATATTTTATGTCAAAATTTTGCCCATACTATAGCAATCTGACAAATATAAATTTATAACAGAGCTCTCCTGAAAAATATAAATCGAAAAAATGTTTAAAAAAAAAATATATATATATATACATATACATTTTTCGGTTGGCGCTACAGACCATGAAGATCTTTGACCAAGAAATGAGGTCTTCTAGATTCCACATTCCAATTACCGATTAAAGCACATGGGGGTAGGGTCATCAGTCCAACACCTGGTCGGTGTGAGTTGCCTCTAGCAGCCTGACGGGCATCTCATACCCGGAGGGAGGAGAATCTCGGGCAGCTTGGCTTTCCCTGGTGGAAGGTTACCCAAATCGGGCAGGTCACCCATCCAAGTGCTAACCACGCTCGGTGTTGCATAACTTTTATTACCTATTGCAAGCGCCTTAGCTCGCACGGCTACCCCCAGCCCCCTATATATACATAATCGGACACGATTTTTTTTCAATTTGATGATTTTTTTTTTAGTTTGTAGGAAGTTGTGGAAGTTTTCAAATAATAAAAAAAAAACATTTATTCAATAGTCTAATGCTTACATGATGAATTTAGTGATACAAATAATAACCTATGTTTATCAGAGAGAATATGAATTTCCGCTTTACCCTAAGTGATAACAGTCATACTACAGAGCTTCCGTGACGTAGATATCTATGCTCGTGAAACCAATTTCATATCACGCATATGTCCATCTGCCATTTTAACATTGACCTCAATTATCTACTTTTTATACCTGAATGAGTCTTGTTTTCCACATTACAGTAACCCTGTAATGAGTGCATATATTTCAACGCTTAACATCTTGAGGCATAACTGGGGGCATTTGCCAAGATTCAAGAAGATCTTGATCGAATCAATGCCTGGGCAAATGTAAATGGATTAAAGTTAAATGCTGCCAAAACTCAGGCCATCGTCATTGGTTCCAAGCCCCTCATTAGATCCCATACTGACTTTCCCATATTACACCTTAATGACCAGCCAATTTCCTTCTACTCCTCTGTTAAAAATTTAGGATTTTTCATAGATCAAACCCTCTCCTGGACCAACCATATTTCTCACATTTCCCGTCGGACAATCTCTACCCTCAAACTATTTCATCGCTTCCGCCATCTCCTACCTCAACATATCCGTAGACTCCTAATTTCCTCTCTCATCTTCCCCCACTTTGACTACAGCTGTGTGGTGTATGATGGCCTCTCAGTGGAGCTCCTTGATAGACTGAAAAGATTAATGAATAGCTGCGTAAGATTTGTTATTGGTGCCCCGAGGTACTCCCATGTCTCTCACCACTACACTGAGTTAAGGTGGCTCTACCCCTCCTTCCGAAGACAATACTTTTTAGGTACGTTCCTCTACCAAATCATCAACAACCATCGTCCTTCTTACGCCTACAACCTTCTCCAGTTCAAATCCTCAGTCCATTCCCTGTCCACAAGATCTCGACCTTCTGACCTTTACATGCCTTCTCACAGATCTGCCTCATTCCAAAATTCCTTTATTGTTCGCTCTGTCAATTTCTGGAATTCCCTCCCTATCAAAATTCGACATTCCCCCTCCATATCCACATTCAAATCCCTCCTATTCCAATTCCTATCACAAAAACAGTCAGATACTTGCTAACCATTCGAGCGGATTTTAATAGAGAATTTGATATATTTTTATTTTTTAATTCTTTATTTTTTTCAGAAAAGTGTATACTGGTCTAAATAGCTTTAAGTTTCTTGTCATAGTATTAATGGTTTTGTATATAGTTTAGTTTGTTTTGTATATAGAGTTTTTACCTTATATTTTTTTTACATTATTTCTTTTTTTCGATTTATTTTGTTTTGGCCAGATGTAATATTTTAATTTTGTTCTAATTTGTTATTCTCAAGGGACTGTGTCCCAGAATAAAGTTATTTTTCTATTTCTATTATATATCGCGTATACATGGTTTAAGTTACATAATGCAAATACATAACAATACTTTAAATAATTAGAAAATAAATAAATAAGTGTATATAAAAAATTATAGTAATAAAAGAGAAGTGATTAAATATAATTCTCAAATAACTGAAATGATAAACAATAGTGATAAGTTACGGATTAGATAATGGTAAGTAGAATATTTACAACAGAAATGTGATATAATAGAATAAAACAATGAATAAAGATCTTAGTTAGGAATTAAAGGTTTGATACAATATTTACAATGAATAATACATTTTAGTAAAACAATTCATGTAGGTAGTGTTATTAAGGAATGGTTAGGCAACAGATTAATGATTAACTTCAGAGAAATCAATTCGTTCCACAAATGCATCAAGTTCTGATAAATGTTTGTCAATCAGATCCTTCTTTGAAGGCGGCCATTGGTCTCCGTTTACTATGACAGCTGATACCACTAGTGGATCCAGGATTTAATTTTTGGGGGGAGGGGGAAAGGCTTCAGCCCGAAATATTTTTTTTTGTAGGTATATATTAGGATAATTACTTCTGGAACAAGAAAGAAACTAAGTACCTATATGAAATGGTGTTTAAGTAATTCTTTTAGTCCTGTTAAATATAATTAGACCAACAATAATGCATATAGAGATAATTTTTTTACATAAAACATGGTTATGTTTTACCATTTTGGTGGGGGGCTTCAGCCGGAAAGCCCTCCCTCCCCCCGTAGATCCGCCTGTGGCTGATACCAATTTGTGTCTGTATTCATCCAGTCTAGTACAGTCATAAAGGAAATTGCTGACTGTTGCTGTCCCATTTGCAAATTTTGTTGTCTGTTAACTTATATCTGAATAATTAGCTTTTGGCTGCTCCGTGAATAATATAATGGTTATGTTTATATATATTTTTTTATTTATTTAGAAATATACCAATCTGTCACGTGGACAATAATTATAGTGATATATGAACACATTCACACAATATATACAGACATTATAAAAAAATATAAAATACAGAAAATATAAAAAACTTAATGTTCCGTGAATGAGTCGTTTTGACTCCCCTTTTTTTTTTATAAAAATTTAAGTTTCTCTTCAACATATATATTGAAAGAGAGAGTGAGTGAGAGGGAGGCTGTTGTAACTTGGGTCACAATTTTATTTTTTTATTTTTTTTAAAGCCATAATTTAAAATATTGCAATAGCAAATGTCTTTCCTTAAAGCGGCTACGTTTTCATTATGTTTTTCTTTTTATAATTAATACACGAAAATTCGCGCGTCATAGAAATCCTGGACTAGAGTAACATAATCTAGCAACCGGTCCAAATAAAATGAAACTTGTATACTTATACTTGTTTTGCTTTCATTTTTTATTAAATAATAATTTATTGTTTTCATATTTCTAAGAAAAAGGTACGTCAATGAATCCTTAGCCTTATTGCTAAAATTAGAATAATAAAACTGTAATGAACTTCTATTAGAAATTTGTAGTAAGTATCTGTCCATTCTTTACATGTGAGATCCAAACCCACGAATCTGTATATTCTTTCTTATTGAACTGCTTCCTTTAAAAACTCATTTATAATGCTTGCTACTTTGTTTCGGAATTCCTTACATACTTCCACACGGAAAACCTTATCATTAACTTCTTTTAAATACCAATTATGCATTCATCTACTCAGCAATCAATCTTCTGTATATATATATATATATATATATATATTATATATATATATATATATATATAAGAATTAAGTTTTTGAATTAAGAAATGTTAGGCTCATTTTACTGTTATTTGACAGTTATCTATATAATATCTATGTCGCTTATCAGTTCAAATACGTAAACATAATGATATTTATTTATCTATAACTATTTTATTAATTTATTATTCTTATCCTTTATTTTAATTCCAAGTTTACATCACTCTGTAATTTAATTAGTTCGAGTCATTTTACGCCAGATAAGTGACCCTTCTATTGTTCATTTTTATTATTTTTATGGAACTAATTGTCCCAGAATAAAATTTAATTTTCTTCTTCTTCTTCTAAGTAGTACTGAACAAACATCTCTCGAAAAAGGATCGCAATATGATGATAAAAATATATTTATTCAATAAATTTTCAGGGTTTAATAAGTTAAAAAAAAAGTAACGATTTCAAGGTTCTAACCATAATTAACCTTTCATACTTTCGAGACCCTCAATAGTTATTTAATATAATTATGTAAAGACTCACCGAGGAAGGAGTATAGTGGTGTGAAGGGTACGGCCAACGTACAGAGGAGGATGTCGGAGAGCGCCAGGTTGGTGATGAAGCAGTTTGTGACAGTGTGCATCGCCCTGTTCCTTCCGACGACGTAGCAGACGAGGACGTTCCCGAAGAGGCCGAGAACGAAGATGGAAGTGTAGAGGAGGCAGAAGACGGCCTGGACTGCCTTGTCTTCGATGATGTCCAGGCCGGTTTGGTTACCCACGCTTACGTTCATCTTCCCATCACACTGTTCTTCCGTATCTGCAAATAATATTATATAATGTATTTCCTTATTATATAATTGTATACATGTTGGATATATAACATAATATTGACAACGATGACTGAGGTCCAGACTTGTATGCAAATGCATATTTTTTAAATATTTAATAGTTGACCTTTGCATTATAAAGGAAGGTGGCTGTCATAAATAGGCTAAATAGTGTTAAAACTATATTTTATTAAAAGCCAACGTTTCGACCATACTATGCAGGTCTTCTTGCAGGGCTAGAACTGACAAGATACAAAAAGATATAGAGAATTGTGGCAGTTACATAATATTCAGACAAAATTTATAAACAATGTGAATAAGCTTATTGAAATTATAAACAGTAAGTACATTAAAATATGAACAGAGTAAGCTAAGTAACAAGATCCTAAACTGAAGTAAATAGATGCTAACAATTGTTGTAGTGTAATATATAATAAACACAAATGTGAATATACTTCTACAGATCTACAGGAGAGATTGAAAGAAAAGGAAAAGGGATATAATATGAAATAATAGACATAAAGGAATGCGGAGAAAGAAAAGAAAACAAAAATTAAATAAATAAGTAAATAAAATGGAAGAATAAATTTACAGATTTACAGGTGTTCAGCTAGGAGGAGGAGAGGGGCGTATTTTTTTGCCACGTTTTTCAAAAATAGCCATTCTAAATCTTTTGGCAAACATTTTTAGCCAAAGCATTATTTAGGTTCAAAAGATTATGCAAATTTCGACTAAATGAATTCATTTTGAACTAAAGAGTTGAAATCCAAAACTATGCAGGTGAGACCGTTAGGAAAAATACCAAAAGGAAAGGTCTCATATATCACCACATGGAACAAATAGGGATGCGCAGAAGGAAGACTTTGGAAGAAACTAGGAGCCCTACAAGGGGCAGAAATACGTGGCAATGATGGTTAGAAGTACCTCCACACTGAAAGGCAAGTGGCTGAGAAAAAAAAAAGAAGAAGAAACCATTTTAGATATAAAAATTGTTTAATTAATAAAATCACGTTTCCTTTTTTTTCTTCGAATCTTCAAATACTAATATCCACCTTTTAAAAAAAAATTCGACAATCAGCAGATACTTGAAATAATTAAACTTAACTGTCAGACATGAGAAAGGATAGCAGCAAGTATTCTTTACCTGGTTTGATTCAATTACCATGGTTTGTTTAGGAAGTCTCTCATCCAGCACGTTTTTATTCTCTTCATGTCAGTTGAAGCATTATCTAGTATGTTAGAATGTTCGTGTAACTTAGTATACAAAGTTTGTAAAGAGTCCTTATGTGCTGGCCAACTATTGACAGAAGGAAATCAGTATGAATTTTGATTTTTTACAACACAAAAAATTTAATGAATTTGGCAACCCAAAAAAAAATTAGTGTAATCTCAAACAAGTTAACAATCCTTCCTCTTATGGACAGAAACTTATTTCCTATACTATCTCTATACTATGGAGAGAGGCTATGAGAGGTGGAACCAATGAAGAAAAAAAAATATGATAGACCATCAGACAATAATAGAAAGATAATAAATAAATAGAAAGAACATTTTAAAGAGTTTTAACTATGATAAAATCAACAATAAAATAAAATAGTTAATGATGTCAACATCTATATTATCGAGAAATAAAAGTTTTCAAGGACACTAAATGAAATTTCTGTAGAAAATAAATTGAAAACTTTATCGTTGACCGTCTGTTTCACTGAACAAAAATAATATTGTGTACCGACTAGTCGTTGTTTACAATGTATTAACTGCCTTGAATTAGCAAATTATAGGAATGAAACAGAAAATATCGTGCATTTCCTTGGTGTATGTCCTGTTCTGGAAGAACTTAAGAGAAAATATTTTGGAAAAGCCTTATAGATAGGAAAAGATAGGTAATTGTACATTTAAACGGAAAAAATTGGGTAAGTCTATCCAATTATTATGCCAAGAATTTAATTATTAGATGAATAATGTTTAAGTCGGAAAAATTATTTACGTAATTATATTAAAAATGTGTATGTATTTATATATTTATGTAGTTAAGTATGTGTAGTTAAATTTGTGATATTAAGATTTAATACATTGCATTTCTGTATTTGTTAGCATTAACATTGTATTTATTAACATTAACATAGTAGGTTTTAGTTTATATTATTGTATCAATAATACTTATTTTGTCAAGGCCAGCGTCCAGCTGACGGTTTTAAGAACCCATCTGTAAATATTTTTATTGAGCTTGGATATTGTTGTAGTATGTTATTGTATAAAAACTCAATAAAAATTCATTCATTCATTCATTGACTGCCTTGAATTTGAATTTATAACTAAAGTAATATTCATAAGGTTTTCTTAACTTTAAACAAAATTAATTTCTGCACCAGAATCCGAAACACCACACACAAGCTTTTATATATATATTTTATTCGGTTCTGTTTATGACTGGCATCCTAAATTACCATAATTTTATAATGTGTCTAATGACTAATAAATTATAGACCATTGGGACAAGGCCTAAGTATAATGATGACTAACGCATTAAATTAATTAATTAACTTGTATTTTATACTTTATTTTGATCCTTTAATTTATTTCATCCCCTAACTCCTACAATACTAGCAGACAAATCGTCTTCAATTATCTTTAAAATATACAGAAAATTTATAATTTAAGACGATAAAGAAGAGGGGAAATAAGAGGCGATGCTTATTTCTTAAGTTAAAAAATAAAAAAGGGAGGCTATTGAAATGTTTTTATCGTTCCTGGTCTTAAGCGGAAGGTATAGCACTCAGAGATAGGAAGAGAAAGAATTTCTTTTTATTATCCAAGTTTAATAACTTTCATATCTATAGGTACTTACTGTATTTAATAACCAAATTTAATATTTCTTATTCCTCCGAACTAAATAAACTTTCAGCTTTCAAAATATATTCGCAAGGAATCCGTTTAAAAATTAATAAATATACACATATCCGAAATCGTTTTTAGAAGAGCATATACAGGGAAAATAAATGTTTAAGAAATATAATTAGTTACATTACAAAATAACTACAACAATTTAAACTTTCTTTTTTTTTTCACTTCAAATATCTGTCCATACCTGCCTCAAACAATCTCTGGTCCGAGCAGCTCTTTCCACAAGAAGTGCTGCGTGTTGCTATTGATGACTGGTCACGTAGATTAAATACCTATGTTAAAGCATAAGAGGGACGTTTTGAGTAATTTCTTTTTTGTTTTACTCTCTACAGATTTCATTTTATTTTCTAATAAAGATTTTTGAAAAAAAAAAAATTGTATGTGGAAATCTGTATATATTTCCTTGTAACAATATTTATGAGAGGACTAGGTATTTATAGATAAAATACAATACATTCTATATCACGGAAAAACAAGAAACAAAAGCTTTGCGACAGTCAATTGTAGTTATTCTTGCAGAAAACACTGGTAATTTAAGTTGACTGGATAGGAAATCGCATCATTTTTTTACACAACTTGTAGTGAATCTCGACATTTATCCTAATAAATCTTAATTTAATTAATATGATTTTTTTTTTCTCTTTAAGTATATATCCACACCCGCCATGGAATTGACAATCAGCAGATTTGTTGTGATAAATAATGACTGACATTGCAGACATGAAGAAGGATGGCACCCAGCAGTACTTCTTCCTGGTCATTATTTACTTTCTTGATTTAGGTGAGGAGATCTCTCATATATCACCTTTTTAATCTTTTAGTCTCCTTCTGATGGGCATGTCAGTCGTGGCTATGTCGTTTATAAGTAATAATAAAATAAAATAATTGTGAAAAAAATTGTAAAGCTCTCAGTACTAAGAAAAAAAAGATCACATTTAAAATAAAAAACCGAACGAACTTTTTAAATAAATAATACATACATATTTTAAGAATGAAACTATTTCCATGTGATTGCCAAAAGCTCTTCGCCAGAAGATCAATATTTGAGATTTAAAAAAATGGAAAAAAAAATTGAATCTCCCCTTGAATGCAACACTTGCGCAAACACAACAGTAACGCATAACATTACTGCAAAGCTGGCAAGGTATCATTCTGCGTCCCGGCGCAACACTCAATTGTTTAACCAATTAATAATAATATATCAAAAGTTATTATATTATACTATAATGACAATAATATTTGACAGATACATTAAATATGCTTATAATATTTATTTTAATAAATAAATAATACCCACATGAAAAAAATTAACATATAAATTATTTTTAATTGTATTTTTCTTATAAATCATAATCAGGGAATTTTCTCAATCTTTATCTGTAAAAACGCATTGATTTAATACCTAAGCTCTTCCATCCAAAAAATTCCCTAATATAAAAAAGTACCCTTTTCTTTAAAATAAAGGGAATTGCAGGTTTATTCAAAAGGTTTTCGTAATGAATTTAACAACTCATTACGCTTAGCTATTCCGTCTGAAATTTCCTTTATTTTTCTTGAAAGCAAACATAATTTTTTATTAAGGAAGGAGATGATTCGGGGTGGTGGTCATAAATAGGCTAAATAGTGGCAAAACTATTTTATTAAAAGCCAACGTTTCGACCCGACTTTGCTGGTCTTCTTCAGGGCTAGAACGGACAAGATACAAAAACATATAGAATATATATATATATATATATTATTTTTTTCTATTGGTATAAGTATAGATATAGGTTCTTTATATTTTTGTATTTTGTCCGCTATAGCTTAACAAAAATATATAGAACCTATATCTATACTTATACCAATAGAAAAAAATAATATATATATATATATATATATATATATATATATATATATATATATATATTCTATATCTTTTTGTATCTTGTCCGTTATATTCTATATCTTTTTGTATCTTGTTCGTTCTAGCCCTGAAGAAGACCAGGAAAGTCGGGTCGAAACGTTGGCTTTTAACAAAATAGTTTAGCCACTATTTAGCCTATTTATGACTGTCACTCCGG